ATGGCCAATGTCAAGGAGGATAACCTCTGACCTACTTTCGCCGAGAGTCACTCTTAAGCAGCTAAGTTTGGTACATATTTTGGGGAGACAACTTAAGAGAATTCCTTCTGTTCCCCACATCTGACCTCTCTCTCTTCCCCCTCTCCCCTGTTCCCTTGCCCTCCTTCCCTTCCCCCTCTCTCCACGTGGACCACCAAGCTGGGCTGAGGTGAGCAATGCTACCATGTAATATGTCTGACTGTATTATTGTAATATCTCTCATGCTCTCGATGACTTTAATATAATACTTACATATCTCAACCGTACAGTTGTGCATTACTGAACCCAGAAGTAGTATTACTGAACTCGTAGAGAGTATTAGCGGTGGGGGCTGGCCCCTCACCCCCCATGGCCATTTTAATTTAATACTTCACTGACAGCCGATTCATACTTGATGAAGCGTGGTGCCAACCCCCTGTTCCCACCCTCCCCCTCTCCCTGCCCAGGTGGAACCTCATGAAGGCCTGGGAGCCCTGCCCCCAAATTCCATCAGGTCCAGGTGAAATGACCACTTCGAGCGAGCGGAGTGGCACGTGGTCGTTTCAGAGGGAGTCGGGCCACCGTCTGTGCTGCTGGTGGGCTGGGTGGATGGGCGGATGCTGGCTGTGCACCTGAGCAGATGAGCTGGGGGAGAAATGTGTGTGTGTGTGTGTGTGTGTGTGTGTGTGTGTGTGTGTGTGTGAGAGAGAGAGAGAGAGAGAGAGATGTATCACTTAGCAGGCTTGTTCTCTGAGAGTTAGGGTTTGTCTGAGAGCTAGACGGTCCAACGCATGGAAGCCAGAAGCCACATGAGCCATCAGAGAAGGAAGCTGCCAACATTTCCCAGAGGAGCAGCCGCCGCCCTGTCAAGAGACGGCATCTTTCAAGACCCGAAACAGCCCGGCGTGCCACCACATTCCCACTGCTCGTGGATAGGCTAGATCGAGTGGTCAGCCCCCCATCAGCTTCGGAAGGCTACTTTTGACTGACCGGCCCCTTCTGCTCTTGTGTAGGTCCCCCTGGAAGTCTATCTTTTAGGGGGAGGGGGACATTTTATTGTGTTTTTGGTGAAGGCTCACACAGCATTTGTTTCCCAGCCAGTCATTCACACACAGAGCTCCAGTGTCCAGGGTCCCGACCCCCAATGTGCCCGCACGCTCCCCGTTTCCATCCCACCGCTCTCCCGCCGCCCCTGCACTGTTGCTCATTTCTGGGGGTGGTTCTGAGCAGCATGGCGGGAAGGTGGCCTCCTGGAGGGTCGGCAGTCCCCAGTGAGAAATGTTTGGGGGTTCCTTAGCCCAACCCTGCCCACTCCTGGCAGTCCTTTGAACCGGGTCAACCTCTGAGGGCACAGGTTTGAAGGGCTGACTCAGAGCAGGTCAGATGTGGGCTGACCGTTCCTCTCTCCATCCCCCACCCTAAAGGTCCCATGTCAGCATCCCAGGGGGGTAAGTACATCACACACAGAAGTGAGGCCTGACCAGGTGGTAGGGCCAGAGACAAGCTCTGTCCACATAACTGGCTTTGGGACTGCAGTCTTTTGAAGTCTAGCAGGTGGGACCAAAGGTGAAGGGGATGCTGTAGGTACAAACTTATACCCTCTACTGCAATGGTTCTCAACTTGTGGGACCTGACCCCTTTGGGGGGGTCAAACAACCCTTTCACAGGGGTCGCCTGATTCATAACAGTAGCAAAATGACAGTGATGATATAGCAGCGAAAATAAGTTTGTGGTTGGGGGGTCACCACCATATGAGGAACTGTATTAAAGGGTGGCGGCATCAGGAAGGTTGAGAACCACTGCTCTACCCCAAACCAGCAGCAGCATGTAAGGCAAAAGGAGTTTCAGCAGTTTGAATGCCCTGAGGTTTA